CTCTCCCAGTGCTTTGTGCAAGTCCAGGAGTGGGAGCCTGCCTGTGCAAGAGAGTGCTTGAGGCTGGAGATCAGCTGGAACCACTGTAGAGGAGGCTGGGCTTGCTGGCATTAGGAGCTCTGCATCAGGGCCCTGGCAGTTGTGAACTCATGCTGATTTTTAGGGAGCAGTGAAGGAGATCTGTGATGTGGCACATGTGAGACTCGATGACAAGGGATAGAGTCCAGCTGTAAAAGCCATGTTGATCTCATTAGGCATGAGGAAGAGAGCAAGCAGAGTCAAAACATGCAAAAATGGCAATTTTTTGACCTCTAGGGGCCCCTTTGAAGCAGTCTTAAGTAATACACTTTGTTTATTTGTCCAGCAAAACAATTGGCAGATAGAAGCATTCCTTTTCTCATCTAGCTATTTGTTCCTTGATATATTTTCCTTTATTTTTTTATTTCTCTTTGAATAACAAGGCCACAAGCAGTTTCATCTCTATTTCTGTTCATCTCTAAAGTCATCAGCTGTGAGCGCCATGTTTCTGCTCAGCTGATGGTGAGCTATGAAATAAAGCCAAAAAAAATGAAAGCACTTTTGCATATCCCACTTGCATTTTTGCAGGTGTTGTATCAAGCTTGGAGTATCTGGAGCTCATCCTTATTTTGTGACACTTTTTGAGGGAGAGTGTTTTGAATCTTTAAAAGGTGCCTTCAGAAGAGCAGAATCCTTTACCTTTGAAAAGAAGAAAGGTACAGTCCAATTTTTGTCCAAACCTTCCATGTGCTTCCTTTTGATATGCAAAGAGCTTTATAACTGGGCTTCTCTTTTCTCTCTCTCTGACCAACCCTTCTCTCACTCCCACCTGTCCCCAGCATCAGTTAAAACAGGGAGAATTTTATAGCTAGATGAGTATCTAGTTAATACACTCCGTTGACCTCCAAAGTTTAGGCTCTACAATGTATTTAGACATGTCAGCTGAAAGGTTCATTAATATTTTACTGCATTACCTCACTCTAGCTGCTACAATATTAAAAATGTGCTTTCCCTGAATGCTTGTTACAGGAGTCTGATGGTCACATTGTCATGAGCTGTCTGTGTCTGCTGGCAGCTCCCTCTTCTGCCCCAGCACAGGATGCAGTGGCTTGAAATATTAATGAGTGCTAATATGGCAGAGCTGTGCAATTGAAAAAGAGATACACACACACACACACTCACTCACATGATGTCCATATATGCCTGTGTTTGATGTACACACTGCTGATACTTGAACACACAAGACCAGATGCTAAAGTTCCTTAGCAGTCCTTAGCTGGTATCCAGTGATGCACCAGTGTGCACTCCAGCAGAGCTGAGCTGTCTCAGGCCCTGTGAAGGTGTCAGATTCCTCACAGTAAGGCCAGATCCCCTCTGAAAAATGATACCATCCCATCAAAGCCTTTGAAGAAGGTTTAAGTTGCAACCACAGCACCACCGAGAGATTTTCTCTTAGGGGGAGATCCTCATGCATTGTGTTGTGGCACCCCATCTCAACCGATGCCAAGAAATGAAAGGATTAGGTGTGATCTTGCCAGTAAGAAGAGTCAGGAAGAGATGGTAACAATATATCTGAGATCTGTTTGTGATGTGAGTCCCTTTAGATAACCAGTTCTAGCTTGGGCTCATGATCTGGTGGGTCCAGAACCTGGGCATTGACAGGGTTGCTATTTTCACTTCATGCATTTTGTTTGTCACAAGCATATAAGTAATTTCTGTATATTGAGGAGGGAGAAAGATGGTTTCCTTCATACATGAATAATCACCCAGTTAATCAGTGGAACTGGCCTTGGGAGGTGCCTGTCAGACCAGGAGAGGCAAGGAGAGAAGTTTGGTGGCCGCTTCCATGGTTTTCTACTTGTGCAGCACATCCCTCAGACAAATCTTGAAGCTGTGTTGTGAATGATTTCTCATTTCATGAATTTCATAAACTTGAAATACAGGATTGAAGGAGTTCCTTCAATGGTAGGAGTCTCACTGAATGGTTCTGAATGCTATTTCTCCTCCAGCTCTTTTTCTGCTGTCATAGGTGTCCACCTTAACTCTTAATGTGCCCTAAAAAACCCTGTTGCCCTTCAGCACAGTGGGGCAGGGTTGTGCTGCTCCCTTGGCCACTAAACAGGGAATTTGCCTTTCCTGGTGCAAGCTCACAGGTTGCTTTGCTCTTGCTTTCCCCAAGCTTTTAATAAAGCATTCGATTTCCTCTGGTTTCCTTCCTCTCAAGAAAGAAACAAAAAACCCTGATCTAAAATAGCCCATATGCACCCAGAGTAGAAACACTGTTTAAATATCTCACGATGCCATGCAGAGCACCAGCAGTTTAATCTATTTATGTATCTATTTATGTTAATTGCCCAGGGATTAGCGAGTTTAGCAAATAAGGAAAACTGTGAACGCTTCAATTACACAAACAGTGGGAGCTGAACCAGTTGCCTTGTCACACATGCCAGTGGGATTTCTGGGATTCCTGGTGTTACAGTGCTGGGTGGGTTGTCAGAGCAGCTGTCCTTGCACTGACTTACAAACTCATACCACTGTGTGCGTAAGCACATGCAGGTTTCTAAATAGAGCCAAGGAAAACATACTGCAGCTGAAATTTGCTTCTCCTTCTGCTTTATGAAATTATGTCTGGACTATTGATGGACAGAACAAGAGAGTTAATGAATTCATAGGCTTGGAAAGATAACCAGCAGGTTTCTTTGCTCCCTATGGTCCAGGGGAACAAATGCTGATGTTTGATTCTGTTATGTTGTAAAGAAAAAAAGTACAGAGACAAAAGGTTTTGTTTTGTCTCTTAGTATGGCTAAACAAGTGGCCAATATAAATGCTACATTTTAGGTATGTGTCAATTTAAACCATGTCTTGGGAGCACAGTCTTAGGTTTTGCTTGGAGAAACCTGCCTAGCCATTGCTCCTACCATGAAATTCAATCACAAATTTCTTCTGAAAAACCCTTTGATAAGTGAAGGCTTTTTAAAATTTTTTTTTCAGTGTCAATCAGAGAAAAGTGAGATAATTCATTGAAACACCTGTTTCTCTTTGAAGGCACTGATGACACTCTACTGCTGATGTGTTGCAGCACAGAGGTGCATGAACACGGGCAACACTGTGGCTGGAAGCTGCTCCTGCCCCAGCCTGGTCTCTGCTTCCATATGTGGTCTCACAAGTGCTGAATAGAGGGGACTAATAAATTCCCTAGACTTTCAGCTGTGTTTTTTGTAAATGCTGCCCAGGATGCTGTTGGTTTTCTTTACCTCAGGGGCACACCACTCATATACATGCAATTCCCACCCCTGGCCCTGGCTTCTTTTATCGTAAAGCCACTACCAACTCACCTACCTAGTCTGATTTCCTGCAAGGGGTTAGTCTGCCTCAGATGCAGGACTTTGTTGCATTTGTCTCAGTTGATGAAGTACCTGTCAGATAATTTCTCCAGCATCCCAAGATTGGCCTTGAAATGCAGTCCTGCCCTCCCTGTACCAACTGCCCCCCATATGCCCCAAGAGGGCAGCTGACACACTTATTTTATCACAAACCTCCCCAGACCCAGGCTTAGTGTGATCCACAAATTTGCTGAAAGTACACTCTGTCATGTCCTCCAGGTTGTTAATAAAGATGTTAAATGGCACTGACCCCAGTACTGACCATCTAGAATGCCACTACAAACTGGCTGCCAGTTCAGCTTTATCTGGATGGTTGGGCTCAAAGAATGGTCATCAGCAGCACACCTCTTACCTTTTGTAGGTAGCTACCCAATGCATGTCAGTGATTTGATCACAAGTTGCTTTAAAAAAATAAGTAAAATACCCAACAGGAGAATCTTTTTATTGTCAAAGTTTCATCAGTCCATGAAAGAAAGAGCAGCACATTTCTGCAAAGCCCAAATAACTTGTACAGCTCATTCTGCAGACAGATTTTTCTCACCAGAAAGGAAGTGCCTGTTAAAGAGAAGGAGGCAGGAAGGGAGCCAGGACCAGCAGTGGCCAGCATGGTTCTGCTGGCTGGTACCTTTAGAAACACATTACACCCTTCACACTTCTCCTTCCAGTGTTGCTCTCCTTAAAATCACTGAACACCCAGGTGAGGATCCATCTAACCATAAAGGGCATTTTAGCATCCCTGTTGGATCCCATGTCAGGACTGCCCTGTTATATTTTGATTTTCGTTCACAAGACCTATGGAAGAAATAGAGCAAAATTCTCCACGGGGGAATGATGCCTAGCTGTATCAGCAGACACCTTTCCATTACACTTTGGAGGAAATCAGGTTGTCTTCCAGTGAGTCCCAGTCACCAAAATATTTTTACAATATGATGAAGCCATTTTTTATTTTGTGCACTTCAAGGTGCTCAAAATGTTAGTTTTCACAGTATAGAATGGATGTGACAGCATTTGTCATGGAAGCACTCAGCAGAGTATGTTGCAACTTCATTTAGTTGTGCTGTTTTATGAAGTTCTGCAGTAAAATGTGCTGGCAAATCATGTTGTATTAGTTTCTTTCTGGTGATTAACTAATCATTCATATAATAAATAGCAGCTAACTACAAGAAAGAGGTTTATTTGTCACAGAGTTAGAAGAATGTCAAACTTTTACCATTTCATGTAAAAAGGCAGAGGAAAAAATACTTCTAAAATGACTTTGCAACATGTGCTTTATTTTAAGTCATTACTGAATCAAAACTACACAGTATGCCCTTTTAACATACCCTACCCACTCAATGATTTCTTTTTCTCAATAATTTTTTTAACATGGAATGAAACCTACATTGCAATTGTAAATTTTCATGCTACAATGTTCTCTAATGAGCCATTTGTGTCACTAATAATAGCAATTTAAGAAAAAGGCCATTTTCCAAGCTCATATGTATGTCTATATTTGGGAACTTAAAAAAAAAAACCCGTCTCGGATGTAAAAATGTGACTTGGAATATGTAAACATTCTTGTATACCTGAAACACTGGAAGAAGAATATCAACTAACAGCAAAACAACAGTTGCCTTAAATCATCGAAATGGGAAAAAGCATGTCATGGGGAGCAGAGAGAAGCACACTCTATTCAGTCTTTAAAGGGTTATAAGAAATGAAGCAGCTCATTAGGTCATTGAATTCACTTTCTTTTCTCATCTAATGGAAAGCAGTAACTTTGAAGAGAATGGCCCAGCAGAACACCCCAATAATTCACCATAATTATTCTAGCCATTAGTTAACCTTGACGAAGTGTCAAGTTTCAGTTGCTTTTTTTTTTCCTGAGAAAAGTCATTGATGTTTGGTGGAAACGTCTCCCGTGACGGTACAAATAAAATAAGGCATTTAAAGAGACTGTTATTTGTTTTCATTTTGCTAACAGAGGCTTGTCCACAGTGTCCTTTGTACATCAAAACCTCTGCTTTTCTACAAATGGGTATGGCTAGAATGTCTTCAGTTCCCACTGCGGCCCTGGGTCTTGGGTGTCCTGAAGGCTAGTCAGCGTCCCATTACTGTAGCTTGAAAGTCAGTGATGTACAACAGGATATTGCACAATCCAATCTGTATGGCTCCAGAAAGGGTTTAGAAGGTACACTGGAGTCATCTGTGGGTTCACTCCTTTTGTTTCTCTTTAAGTTGTAATGGTTGTCTGGAAAATTAAATTAGCCAGACAAAGATGCAAACTTTTCATTGATTAAATTACAAAGCAGTCCCCAGATTGTAGAGGAGTGGCACATTAAAAACAACAAATCATTCAACCTTCTTCACTGTTGATCCTTATTTTGAAAGGCAGCATGGATTCCTAAGGCCGTAGCTTCCAGGATTCCTTCAGTGAAAAATCATTGCTACCCAACTATAAAAGGCTTAGCTCTTAAGAGAATATTGTGCTTTTTTCTTTTTCTTTTAAAATTCAGATTAAATCAACTTGATTCGCAGTGTGACACCAAAGAGATCAATTAGTTTTTTCCCTAGTCCACTTGATCATAGTCTCTGGTGAGCGATACAGGAATATTAGTTTGGCGTACAGGTCTTCTTCTAATTCCAGTTCTCCAGTCTCTCGCACTAAGAAAATGTCAGTACACAACTTCAAGATTCGGTCTACGTTGGGTAGCTCCTCAAACATGATGGAGTGAGAGATCCCACTGAAAAATTCACGGACGAACTTGCCTATCACCAGGACGACTGAGGCATATAGTCCCATGATGCTGAAAAGAAAGAAAGGAATAGTTCAAATCATGCCTTGACAAAGGGTCAAGCAAGTGTGAGGGAGCTCATCTACATGGCTAAGCATAGTCTGTTAGTTGAGTGAACATTAACTTCTAATTAGGATCCCATTTCTGCCATGTTGCAGGATGAAGGAAAATCAGGTCTCGTCAAACATCACAGAAATGTGAAAACATAAACATCTGAGGCTGCTGACTTAAATGGTTTGAGCCCAGTTGCTGATGGTATCATGTCCTGTCTGCTGCAGCATGAAGGTCACAATGCTAACTCTGGCAGCTGCTGGCTGCTAAAGGCAAACAACCTGTGAGGCTTCATATCTAATATTTTTTATTAAAGTACAGGTAATTGGTGACAAAGTAACATTTACCTGTCCCCCCTGATAATCCTCCTGTGGGGAGTTCTCCAAAATCATGACAGAAGGATGTCTCTCCTGGGAAGGCATAATCTCCTGCCTTCCTCTGTCTGTGGAGATATGTTTCATAACTGTCTCACACCCTGGGTCCTGGCTACAAGATTGTAAATGTCGCCAAAACTGGTCAGAGTTTGGGTAGAACTTGACCTGAAGCTAAACTAACATCCTTTGAACTATTTTACTTCAATGGAAAAGTGGTGTGAAGGGTGCTTCTCTTTTTATACCCATTGGAGAGCAGTTATCAAGGATAATACGATTCCTTGCAAATATTAAGCCTTCTATAGATAATAGACATGAATTTGAAAATCTCACAAAACCTCTTTTTCATATGTTGCAATGTTCAAACACAACAACATAAAAAAAGAAATAACCCCCCCAAATCAGCAAATAAAGTCACCTCTACCTCTATCTTGTGTACTTTAATTTTATGTAAAGATTCCTTCTTACCCATAACCAGCCAAGAATCCAAGGCTCGGTGGACTGACTTTATCACTGAATATGAAGAGTTCAAGACTCTGTTCAGATGTTTTGTGTCTTTTTCCAAGCTGATTCAAAACCCACCACTCACGAACTCCCTCCTTAGACACATTTTTGACCAGGGAAACAGTAATGTTTTCCCATCTGCAATCTATTGAAAAAAAAGGTTAATATATATACATCAAGAATTGCAAAAATCAAACTTCACTTCAAACATCTGCATTATAAAATGTCTGAGAAATGTGGAAGCAAAAGTTTTCTATAATTCTCCTAAACCCTATTTTACATTATTTCTGTACAAAAGTATAAAACCTAGACTTCTGTGGGTTTCCTTCTACAAATTTCATGTGAATGTGCATTAAATAAATAAAATACTTCATATCACCTACATTTTCTTCTGTACAACTGTCAAATCATTTTGGTATTTTCAGGCCAAATATCAGTAACACTCATCACCTCTGCATCTCAGGCTTAAAGAAATACATTTAACCTGGAGGGATAGCAGTCAGCTTCTATATGTCAAAGTGAAGCTGTCACTGTAAATCATTTATGTATTGATATAAAAGATGTTATTCTCTTATATCAAAGAACGCATACTGTTATGCATACTGATCACAGAAAGTGAACTCTAATCCTCCTGAAAGTACCTTAATAGTGTATGCATTAAAGCCTTTTTGAAATCCCAGTTCAAGGACCTGACTAATGACAGTGAAGCACTAGTTTCATATATATATTGCTACTCATAACGTAGGTTCAGCCTCAAGAATTGTTTTTCCCAATTAACCTAATCACTGAACCTTGAATAGTAATGTACTAAATAGAACTACCACTACTACTATTACACTTCAGTGCCAAATTTAACCTCTGTTGAACAAATTGTTCTTAGAAAAACACTTGTTCCTACTCTTCCAGCCCAAGAGATTTTTCACACGTGTATGTGCACGTGTGTTTGTATTCTGTATGACTGTGAGTACCTGTATGCATTCTGATTGAGTAAGAGCACTCTGAAATTCAGTGATTTATCTAAACTGGATTCTTTGTAGCCAATAAGGAAGGAACAGCTTAAAAAAATAAATCATGCAGTGTCATTATTTAAGCTGAAGAGCTACATTTTCAGACATGCAGCACTACTGACTGGTGTGGGAGGTGTGGAGAAGTGCAACTTGTGATCACTTCCTCAGAAAAGAAGGGAAGAGAGTTCCTAAAGTGGACTTGAAGGAAAGGAGAGGGACTTCATCCTTAGAGTCTTTACTGTTAAATACATAGCTATAAATATATCCAGATGCATTTTTCACCTAGTCCTGTAATTATCTAATCTCTCCTCAAGTTTGCAGGCACCAAGCAGAAACCATCGTAAGTGCATTTCAGACTAAAGTGCCCCGTAACAGATCAGTGAATGTGCAAGTGTTGAGTACTGCATTACATTTCTTTCAACCATACTCTGCTTTCCATGGTCTGGACACATACCTGTCAATAGCTGCTTTATGGGTTTTGCCAGAGAATCACTAGGAGCCTTGATGTAGTATGGGTACACTTCTTCTAATGTTCTGGAGAAAAAAAAGGAGAAAGCAAATATTTCATATTTTTACACCTCTAAAGTAATTTAGAAATACCTAACAAGGCTATACACAGTTCCCAGTAAATCTTGGCTTAAGCCGTGACTTTATAGTGTTCAGATGTCACATCTGAAAGTCAGCTGGATTTATTAGCTATGTTCTGTCAGAACTTCAGCAGGGAGCTCCATCCATAATGTTGTCATTCACACACTCTGAATTCCACACACCTGGGGCATGTGGGTTTGCAGGGAATGTAGACTTTATATTTTGTTCCCCTTTTAACAAAGCTGTTTTTATAGTTAGGTATAAAGTCACAAAGAAAGGCAACACATCACCAGTAGTAAACAAGGCAGAAAAATATATAGCTAGAAAAATATGTGGTGAGAACAGCTATTACTTCAGAGTTGCAAGATGTTTTGATAATAACACCTGAAAACAGTGAGAATTTTTGCAAGGATCTTTCATTGGGAAATATTTGCACAATTTTTAGGAGGATTTCAAACTTCAGAAGAAGGATGTTTGCAAAAATTCTTTCACTGGACTCAAAATTAAATCGCCTTAAGTGGGAATAAATTACCAGCATCTAGAGGGAGAGACATTTCATTAAAAGCAGAGATGCTGTCCTAACTTTTTCTTCAAATGACTGAAAAATTATAGGGAAGGAGGGCTCCCAGAGAACTCCTGTGACACTTTGCTACATTGCATACACCAAGCTGAGGAAGAACAGAGGTGGTCAATTGAAAATCCCTCCTGATCACTCCAGCAGGCCCAAAAAAATGGTAAAAGCTCAGCAGGTAAGTTGTCCAAGCAGAGGTGGCGGCAGAAAGCTCCTTGCTGAAGTAGTTAAATGGCTACTAGTTGCCACAACCATTTTTCCTTTATGACACTGTGAAAAAAGCTTAAATCAACAATATTATTTCAAGAAAGGCAGGTACAGGTATATCTTCTATATTACTGCTTGATTCTTGAAAAGAGATAATGTTGAATGAATTGCCTCTTCCTATAAACCAGAAATATCTACCCTCCATGCCCCTACATCACCTTAGGAAATACTCCTGTATCCTCACACAGCAGAAAAGTAAAAGAGGCATAAAATATTTTTTAAATGCAATGATCAGATGTGCAACAGTAGTCTGTTTGGATGTACAAGTGTGTGTGGGTGCAGAAAAGGCAAATCTTGTGTCTATCTATGAACAGATAGGAACCTCTCAGAGTTTTCACAATTCCAATTGGCCTCAGCTTAAACTTTTAAACTCTTGTAGCCACAAATCAGATCAGGTGGCCTCCTAGGGATGATATGTTGGCTTAGCAGTACTTAGAGACTACTGCTGTAAAGTAATCCCCAGTGAGCAGGCGGAAGAGGAAGAGCCAGACGCTTTTCAAATCTGAAAGGAGGCACCAGTGCTGTTAATGCTATAAGGCTATATCCGTAGAATAATGTTTGATATTCATATGAAGAGCATGCCTTGAGAATTTCCATTACAGGAAAAGATCTGATGTCAGAAACGACTGCAGATGTTACCCTTTGACTGCAGTGACTTAACACTTCCTTGCCAATCTAGTGCTATTCAAGAATAACAATGTGAAATACAGTCTGGATGGTTATCTAGAACAAAAAAAATCCATCAATACAACATCCTCAGATCCAGCTGAACTGAAATAACTCAAAGGTGAGTTGAACTGTGAATATACTGTAATGAACTTGTGCTTTTCCAATAAATCAAAGAAAAGTAACTAATAGCTTCACCATGCTTGTTGGTGATGATCCAGTATTCATGGTCTTCTCAGCCTACATTTATAATAGGAAACAAGCTTTTACCTTTAATATTACTATTATGTGAATTCAATGCTGTTGGCCTCTGTGAACAAGGCTCCAAAGTTATTAGAGGAGGATAGATGGGACAGAAAAATTAAACAGTTGCACAAGTCTGACCTCCATAGGAAATCAAACTTCTAAAGGGAAAGTTTGCATATGAATAGGCAAAGAAAATAACTTACACCTTTCCCAGTTTCTGTCCAGACATCATGGTAGCAATATCTTCTCTGGTCTTCTTTGGTAGGTTAAAGGTAAGTTTATCTGATGCAATTTCAGCTTTGGCACCAAGGGTGAGATTTCTGTTTTAAGTAAAAGGGAAGATACACTGTCAGCCTACACTGAGAGCATAACCTAAGAATTTGTTTGCTGAATACAAGAGCTAGTCATCTAGCTACCCTAACTGCACTAGCCCTGGCTACCCTAGTGTTCGATAAAGTAATCATCAAGCTACCTGTACTTGAGATGATGTGTTTTTACACAGAGGATATGTAGCAGACTTAAATGTGTGTTTTTCTAAATTACTATGCATTTGTATGTATTATAGGACAATGATGACAAATTAATACAACTTTTCTCTGGCAATGGGACCATTTGGTGTCAGGACAGTTAAGGATGTTACAGTCAACTAGAGCTTCCCAAAACTCCACCTCAGCCCTACAGAAACATGTGCCTAACAGACTGATAGGGCCTTCCTCAGCTGCTCCTCACAGGACTTCTGCTCTAGACCCTTCACCAGCTTCACTGTCCTCTGGACATACTCCAGCACCTCAATGTCTTTCTTGAAGTGAGAGGCCCAGAACTGGACACAGTACTCAAGGTGTGGTCTCCCCAGTGCCGAGTACAGGGGCAGAATCACTTCCCAAGTCCTGATGGCCACACTATTTCTGATACAGGCCAGGAGGCTATTGGTCTTCTTGGCCACCTGGGCACACTGCTGCTTCATGTTCTGTTGGCTGTTGACCAGCACTCCCAGGTCCTTTTCTACTGGGCATCTTTCTAATCACTCTGCACCCAGCCTGCAGCACTTCGTTTGGTTATTGTGGCCAAAGTGAACAATCCAGCACTTGGTCTTGTTGAACTTCATACTGTTGGTCTTGGCCCATCCTGTCCAGATCTCTTGCTGAGTGTTCTGACCCTCCAGCAGATTGACACTCCCACACAACTTGTTGTCGTCTGCAAATTTACTAAGAGTAGCCCCGAATCCCTTATCCAGATCATTGATAAATATATTGAATAGGACTGGGCCCCATACTGATCCCTGGGGGACACCACTAGTGACAGGATGGCAACTGGATGCAGCATCATTCACCACCACTCTCTGGGCCTGGCCATCCAGCCAGTTCTTAACCAACACTTTATGCCATGTCCCATGGTTCAGATAAAGCAGTTGGGTGAGGCAGCTCCTGGGCTGTGGGGGGCTGCAGAGAAACACTCCCAGCAAATGATGTGCATTTTTCTTTTACTGAGAAAAAGCAGGTCACTGTAGTAAGTCTTTACCACTTCCAGTTTTTCACAGTCACGATGTAATCCACAAGATACAATTTGAGAGTGAAAAACATCTCTTTCAACTACTGTTTGAATGCCTGTAGTTATGAAAACATATGGGCAAACTGAGTAGCAGTATTAAAAATTAATATAAGGTTCAGAAATGATGGAGTGATATAATTCTCTAGCTAATACTGTATGCTTCCAGGAAAATAAGGGGGGGGGGGAGTCAAATAAAGTTGAATTAAAGGTGCAAATTCATTGCAAGCCTATTTTTGACTCTGGAAGGACTGAGCCACTGTGTTCAGAGCTCCCCCAGTGATTCAGCTGACCTGCTTCTTGTGCATAGTCTTTTGGTATAACAATTCGGCTTCTGCTTCCAACAAAACACATAGATACTGAGGCTGTAAAGGTACTTAATTTCCATGGAGTGATGACTTTACTCCAATTTAAACTAGCAGTCTACAGGAATCCCAGCTGGAAAACAGTAGCCAACAAATGACCTTGGTGACTGGGTGTGCTCTAGCCTGTGTGCAACTACTTTATATTCTAGGCTGTCTCTTTCAAAAACTTCATTGTAAAGTAATAGTTCACTGAGGCTGAAGGAACCACAAACAGGCAAAGGTCTCAACAAAATGGATCTGTGCCACTGTTAAGTTAGTTGCATATAAAAATAGTGTCATTTCCAGACTCCCTTAATAAGAGGACTAAGCACTTCTGTTTCTATTTCCTTATGTTTCCTGCCTTAACCGGGTTTAAGCATTCAGTTCCCATAAATGCCATGTTGTTGTTAGGGGCAGTTTATTTGAACATCTCCATCTAAAACTGGCTAAAATTCTGTTACATTTCCTTCCCCTCTAGTCTCACTGAAAACTCCACCCTACCTTTTAAAATTATTTACTTGGAAGTGGCTCCACTAGTTTTTAAGAACTGCAGGCAACAAATGTTTTCCTGGGTAACAAAAGTGACTTGTCTCTGTCTCTTCCTCCCACTGTCTGTTTTTTGCTCTGAAGTACAAAAGAATTTGCTGAAAAACTAAATTAAAAATGCAGTGTGAAACTGTTCTCCTGAGTGAATACTTGGCAAATGATCCATCCACCTCATAACAGCCATGTTAATTACCTCTGAATGGTCCATGAAAGAACTACAGTGAAGTCAGCTTTAAAATCCAGCAGTCCCTGTATCATTTTCTCTCTACTGGGAGGGCTGATGGTCCACAAAGAGTTTGAATTTCCCTCTAGATCTGCTAGAGTTATATCTTCTTTTCCATAGCCCTCTAGAAACTGCAAAGCAGCCTGTGGGTGGAGAAGAGCAAAAGAAAATTTCACTGCAGTGATATTCACATGACAGAATCACATTTCCCCATGAGACAGAACTGTAAATGTTTCATTAATTGTAAGTTCAGTGGTGTGCACTGATTGCTTTCCTCAGGTACCAACTGGGGATTTAGATGGGAAAGGGAATCAACAAAGTACAGCCAAGCTAAGAAGGCAAAACAAACATGGCCTTGCTGCTTGATGGTCACATAGGCCAAAGTGAGTCTGAAAGGTCATGAAGTAAGCTCTGTAGTCTATTCAAACTTAAGTTAAAATTTTGCTCTGTCTTTTCTTAAGTGTCTTTCTGCACAGAAAGATGTCTGCAAAGGATAAAGCAACTAGAAACTCATAACTTCCAAATGGATCAAGGTTGCAGTATTAGTGCTATCATACATGGGTTATTTGGTAGGACTTAATAGAAAAAAATTTTAATTCTTGAATGGGCTAGTTGCAAGCACTTCTTCTAAAGTTATATCTGATCAAACCCCAGTTACATTAGTAATGCAACAGCTCCTGTTAATTTTTCTTGTAGCAACTTGCAGTAACTTTGTGTGTGTTGCTCCATGAAAGACTGAGATTATGCTTTAATGTTTATGTTTTGACATCTTAATGTCAAAACATTTCTAGGCCATGTACACTTTCTTTTGAGAGCACCACCTCTCCTCACTGGGAGGTGAAAAAATAACGTGTGTGCTATAGGAAGCAGCATGGGGCTTAAAAGTGCCAACACTGTTGTGTCCCCACGGTATGTTTGTTTTGGTAGTATACAAACAGCATTGCATCTCCTGAAGGTTTGTGTCATTTAGAGGGGAGGTTTTTTTCAGACAACAGAAAACTGTGCTAAGATGTTTAGATTAGTGGTAACTTGTCTCACCATAACCCAGCCCTGTCCTGATAAAAGAGCTGTCTGAACCCTTACACATGCAAATCCTCTTTATGGAAACATCTCCCATTTGATGGCAGCACTGATGACCACTTATAACTACACAAACAAAACTTACAAAAGGCCTCCATGGAAACATGCACACATTTTTAAGTAATGAGGTATTCTACATTGCACTTACAGTGTTACCCCTATAGTCTCCCATAAACGCACTGAAATCAGTCTGATTCAAATCCTTGAGCTGACTCTGTTGAGCACTCATTGTAAAAATAGGCTGGGAAACAAAAGAACACAGACTTGTCACATTTACTTCATATCAGCTGCAACATACACAGTACAGCACCCTGTGCATCATAGTCCAAGGCAATTATGGCACTCAGTTCAACAGGAGAAGGTTATAATCTCTTTCCAATGAACTGCAAGCTACCTCAAATTATCTTATATTTACCATGCTTTTAGGCAGTTATCAGAATGGACCTGATGTAGGACAATTTATTCAGATTCTGCTGCCAGTAGATTCTGTTTTTCACTTGACATGAAGATAATATTTTACAGCAGTGATAAATTAACATGTTTTTAAACCCAAATGGGATTATTTGTGGAAGCTTGCCTGATACCTTGGATAAGGCAGGAGAGTACAATTCAATGAAGGGAACAAGAAATAGCACAAGGAAATAAAGTGCAAAAACCAAGTTTTTTCTTTTTTACCTGATAACCTCCTAGAGTTATTGTGATTGATACATCTAGAGGCTTGTTGGTGATGCCTGCAACAGATTTGATTAAAGACATGAAGAGCAGTGGGAACCAGACAATACAAATCAGCAAGACGATAATCATGCCACCCATTCCATACTTCACAACTTTCTTTTTCTTCTGGCCTCTTGGTTGGGGATATCTCTGCAAAAAGCAAAGAGCAATATGGCAATGTCTCTTCTATCAGAGGTACACTTCATATGATTTGATGGGTGAATACATAATTATCTTAAGGCTTCCCATTTTCTGTGGTAATTTGCTACCAACTGCCAGGTTAGTTATTTTGAGATATTTTTAGCCAATCCTGCAGAGACACTACATTTCTGGTGACAACAAAGAAAAGTGACAAATGAACTCATATCAAGTGTGTGTCCAGTGTGAAAAATATTGTAAACCTCTGTGATTTTGATTCTTCACAACCATAAAGAAGGAAAAAAATTGGGTAGGATAATTTGACATTTTTTTTGTCTGAATACAATCCAAGAATATGTTCCAAAAACTGCTATTGTGACATACTTTCTCATATTTGTTCTTCCAAAAAGTTTTATCTTAAAGTTCCTTAAGGCAGAATTCCTCTCACAGATCTTGAAATGCTGCAAACTGTGTAGGAGGGGGGAAGGGAAATGGGACTGTCTGATATTGCACTACCTCCACATTCATTTCACACCTCACAGTATTTCTAAGAGTCGTTCACAGGCTTGATCTGGTCTGTTTCTAGTGAATCCCACACCAACTGCGTTTAAATAATTAAGTTTTCTTGCTGTTCCCAAAGACTTGACACTGCTGATGTAACATCCTTCCCTTTCTTAGCTTCTGAGGCCAAGTGACTTTGCTTTTCTTCCTTTTCTTTCAGAACAGATCACATGGCACATCTGTTCTGCCCTCCTTGCCCATAATTCTCACCCTCTGTTATTTGCCTCATGACTGAATACTTCATCATCCTGTAAAATGCCTTACCATCACTGTAATTTATTTTGGTGTATTCTCTTACAGGATTTAAATCTGCAATCTTTAGGAGCCTGTCTTTCATGCCATGTGTGTAAAATAAAGATGCATTGTATTGCACTGCACCGCAAACACATGCCAGGAATCTGGTTTTCAGGAAATTATTCTTGCTTTACAACATGAATCCATAAAGCCCTATGAGAATATTAAATTTGTAATACAATGCTGTATTTAAAACAAATTAGTTACTTTTCAAAAGCAGTGTATCATGTCATCTGTCTTACACTACACAATACTGTTTTCATTAAAATATCATATCAAGATCAGTAGGGTTATATTATTTGTAAGAGATTAGTTCAGGTACCTTTAATGACATTACAGAACAGTTCAGAATGTCTCTAGCAGTCAAAGTACTTAGGTATACAACTCAATATGAGAGAGAGACAGAGACAACCAAAGTAGCTTGAACAACACTCATGGTCATGGCTAGGTATTTTGCTATGTGGCATTAGCACACATGTACTATCTTAGACATGGAAATCTTCCCACATCAGACCTCTGCTACATATAATGTGAGTGACCCTGTTGTAGCATAAAAGAAGGTACTGAGGTGGACAGAGTAGAACTGGATTATTATTCCTCTGACTCCTGAAGCTTCTGATGACAAAAAAACTCCTATACACACGATTTGTGTGCACTTTAGCTCCAAGCTAATCTAAGTGACATAGTTGGAGAGTAATCTCCATTAAGAGACAGGATTATAATAAAAGTAGAAAGACGTCAGTAACACTTACAAATAAATCCATTTCATTGCAGATGTACAATTTCTGACTGGTTTGGTCACTCTTCAAAGAATGTTTCATTTCTTTTTCAAATTGGCAAAATAAGCAACCATATGGTTGCAATCTTTATAGTGGTTATAAGGAATCCAGAATCCACAAGTTTAATTTGAATTCAAGCTTAAATGATTTAAAGAGACTGAAATTTCAGTCAGAAAAATGGTGGGTTTATCTGTCCTGCAGTTCAGTTCAGGATGTGCAGTGACTCTCCTGAGATAAAGGAGCCAGCTGAGTTCCCTTTATGGTTAGGTTACATGAACCCAGTGTCCCTAGGACCTACACTGTGGGGGCATGAGCTCTTCCTTCTACTGACCTTTCTCTTCAGCTGCAGTTTCCCCCCTACAGCATATTACTCATTTAGTTGTGTGTGAGACTGTGTGAATATCAATCCTGGCCTTGAAACCCAGGCATGTAGTTAAGCTAGCAGGCACATGCTTGTGGAGTTCACGTTAATGGTGGAAAAATCAGCTAGGCACAAAAGAGAAGGCATTTGAAAGTTCACTTGCAGTACCTGCCAGCTAATGTAAAGTACCCAACAGTCCAAATATTTCTGACATAAGCACCAGGTATATCTTCTAACAAATTGCTTTTATGGTAGATTTCCCAATTATTTATGGATTTGTGTTTATTTCTCTTTTCTTTATCATGGGGCAGAGGAGGCCTGGATCATTCACACTTTTGGATCATTCCTTACTTTTTCTGACTCTCGCCAACACTTCAGGATGAATATATGAGCATAGATATCTTCAACACAGATCCAGCTGGAAAGACTGAGAGTGGTATCAGTCCAAACCCAGTCCATTACTGCTCTGAGCTCAGTCAAAAATGGAACTAGGCGGAACCTGAAGGGAGACCACAGCAGATAACTTGTCAGAAACAGGGGGATCACATTAAAAGAACACAGCAAATGTATATATGACAAGAGGGAGAATGAAGAAAATGTTGAAGAGCTTAATGTGAGATTTTATAAACCCAAATACAATCATATCCTGACACTGCATGGCCAGTACTGATCTTTTGCCATAGCTCATGTTCCTCTAGATCATCTTGTCAGGCCATAAACATGCCTTTGCATCATTATGCCCAGTAATTGTGATTGAGCCACTGATGGAATAGTACTAGACTTCCCTGTAACCCTAAATTCCTCTGACCTGGGAGTGAAGTAGAGGAACATGCTTTCCACAGGACAGTGGGAATTTGTTTTACACCTCCTTACACCAAGTGGTGCATGGCATCTTTGAAGTAGGTGGGCAGTCCTCAGCTGCATAAGGAACTGAGCTTTATGACTCAGGATTAAGCAGCAGCAGCAGGTGAGCTAACAGGAAATCAGCATGCATATAGCAGCTATTCAAAGTGCACCATTCCCTTTACTAGCCCCATGCTTTTCTGATCAGCCAGGTCACAAAGAGTATTTCACGTGTGGAAAGCCTTTCTTCTGTAACTTTCCGTACTGGTATACAAGAAGCCCAAACTGCAGATATCGTGAAAAGCCTGAAATTATTCCAGATTTTCTGTGAAATACATACATGCTTTGAACTGGCTTTATCACAAGATCATTGTAACAGTGTAAATGGAGGGCAGAGTATACCTCTGTAAGACCACCTTCCTCTCCGAGGTGTGCCTGGTACTTGCACTAACACTTCTAACTCCTGAAGAGTTTCAAATGTGCAGCACTTCTCAAAGGAAACCTTTTGTGATGCATAATTCCTATTGCTCATGTGTATTGTCTTTCAATCTATTCCTTTCACCTGCTGAGTAGAGCCTGTAGACCTTCTCCAAAGACCTCTGGGATTTAACACCTTACTACCTTTTAGGCCTGCAAAATTAATCACATTGCTTGTTTTCTAGCACAATATGTCCTCTATCTCTTTTCACAAAGGTGATTTCATAGAAGTATTAAAAATGTCTTTTCCATAGGGGCCTGAATGGCTGACTGGTATGTCAGGCTTCTGGATTCAAAGTGGGAGATCAATTTTTCTGAAGTTAGCATTCCTGAAATTGATTTCTTTTGTGGACTACAGGGGACATAAGGCAAATACAGAGTGTGCTGCACAAAATTTACTGTCTCTTTTCCAGCAGCCTGTGAAGAGAAGCCATGAATAACCCCAGCATCTCATGATAACAGATCCTTATTTCATAAAAGAAAGAAGAAGGGCAGTAGGTCTATACTTACCCTTGAAACAAGAACAGGTTGACATAATTATAACTTTTTGTGAGAAAGTTGCCAAGAACACGAGTTGGATATCCGCAGCGTATCTGATATGCTGATAAGCCAAAATAAACACATTTCACAAAATACCAGAGCTGGGCAACTGTGTTCTGGCTAAATTTCCTGTAAAGGAAAAGACAGATAAAGGAAAATGATGAGCTTTGCATCTGTGTATGACTGAATTAGCATGAAACGATTTGTGCTACTGGCAGTTTCTCTTTCCTGAGATCCTGTGAAAAGCCCTTGGTTTCTGACCCCACGGCAGGGTTAAAACAGTGTTTGAAAGACACTGGATGAGAAGGTCTATAAACAGCATCCACTGCCACCTCAGGCTTATGCAGGAGTGACTGGGAATAGGCTACTTTGGGCAGTGCCATCTCCTTCTGGATGCTAGAGGTCCTTTGCTGCCCAAATCGGACTAGTCTTTCCTTAGTCCCCATGATGGCACAGCTCTCTGTGAGCAGGGGCTGAATCTAGGCAGCTTTAATGGATATTTGTGTTCATGGGGGCACCTCATACAAAAATTTAAGATGGAGTGAGTGACCTCTGAAAGTAGTATTTTTCACTCTTCCCTGCTTGACTCAAGTCTTATTCCAACAAATGGTTCAAAGACCTGTCCAGTTGAGTTTTGAATATCTCTGAAGTTGGTCCCACAACCTGTCTGAGCAACCTCCTCCAGCATTTGAATACAGTGGAGGGTTTTCATCATATGTAACTGGAATTTCACTTTTTTGCAACTTGTGCCTTCTTGTCCTGTCAGAAAAGAGCTTAGGTCCTCAATGACATCTCAATAGGTAGCTGAAGACAGCTCTTGATTTTCTCTTCTTCAGACTGAACTAACCATCCTCAACCTCTCCTCACATGTCATGTCCTCCATTTCCCTGACTATGTTGAACATGTGCCACTTCTGGCTGCTGTTCAATAGCACCACAGAAGCACAGGAGTTGCCTCATGACAGACAGGACTTGTCAGCTAGCTATAATCCAGTATTTTCAATTACATCCCGCAAAACTGTTTTCATTAAGAAATTTGCAGGGGTTTCTAAGACTCAGCCTGACTTAGAAGGAATATAGGAGGTTTCAGATGAAGCTTGGAGATTAACAACTTGATACAGATTTCACAAAAGCACAGAAGGAGTCAAAACTCTTTTATTTCACATAAATTCTCAATGTGCAGTAGATAAGAGACACGTTTGAAAAATGTGGTTTTTTCCCCAAATTGAGGCACAATTACTACTGCACTGAGGAAAAATGAAACATTTGTTACTGGGAGGAAATTAAGCCTTTCAGTCTTTCTTTACTCTATGCACCTATTTTGGTTTTCCCAGTAAAATAACTCAACTGTTAATGAAGTGCAATGTGCCCAGGTGATGCACTCAATCTCCCTGTACAGTCTATGGAGTGAGGTAAATATTTCAAGACAATTTAAAGTCCTAAGAGGGGAGTTAGCCAGGCACTGGGGAGGGAACCTTCACACCTCTGCAGTGCAGTGTGAGGTGATAAGTGTCTTGAGCCATGCAATGAGAAATGTTAAATTTGGAGGTGATCCCAATCAGGTGTATGACACAAATTTCACACAGCAGGTGACCACCTCCACATCCAGAGCCAAGTGGCAGGAGCAGGGGAGGAGAAACTTGCTCTTCACAAGAGACATAGGTTTTAGACATTCCTCAGTCTAAGGAGATTTGAATCCACAATTCACACATACCAGGAAAGTGCTAAATTATAAGGTACTCTGAGGAAGACATTTTCTACTTGCTCTTCTAAAGCAGCATGCAGCAGTCTTTGGAGCAGGAAACCAAAGCAGAGGCCAACATTGTCTCAGCTGAAGGCTCTAATCGCTCAATTACAGGCAATTTCTCTTTCACCTGTGCACATTTTGGCCTAAGTTGAGAATATTTCTGTACATATATAATTAATTCTTCCTCAAACTTATATTGGCCACAGTTATTGCTGTGGAAAGGCACTCCAACATTCTGCTTAGAAATGAGGCCAGGAAGAAATCTGTTCATGATTCCAAAGCCTAGCTATAACCATCTCAAATTGAAGTATCAACAACTTGGTAGAGCATCAATATTCAGTATTTTTTGGGTATAAGGTTATACCTTTCTGTCACTCCAGGCAAGATAAAGAACATCCAGAAATGTATTCCAAAAACAAGGATGACCTGGAAGATGACTTTTCCCATGACAGTCTTTTTGAGGTACAATGCTCGATCTACCACCATGGTACCAAACTGAATGAGCACCATCACCAAAAATGCCTCTGGGACCTGGTCTTCTGATAATGAAGAGGTGATATCTGCTGCAGCAGAGTGTTTCTGAAAAGGAAAATATAAGGGTGGTTGAGGAAGGACACTCACATGATATTTTAGCATCTACAACATGTAAATCCTGCTGGAGATTTACAGATAGATGTCTCTGTGACATACCCCAAAAGCCCAAAATCCAAACACAATTATGATGAAGTCCACTGTGTCTGCGAGGAACATCAGCACATACACATCAGTCACTGCACTGTAGTCTGGATGAATAAGATTGTAGAAAAATTGTCTGATGGGCACATACACCTGGAGAGTCCTAAAACAACATAGAACACAATGTGATTTAATACCACATAACTTGCACTCAAGAAAACAATGGCTGGGTGTGATATGATTAATATTTTTAAAGATATCTAAGATCTACTCTGACAGCCTTCACAGAGCTTCACAGGCACCAGTCCCTTGTTCTGATTGCTTCTAAACCACTGTATTAGAATTTGTTCAGTAGAAATACACACAGCCAACTGAATTCATATAGGATATTTAGCTTTTTATCAGGCAGATGCTTCTTGAACCACAGCTGATTTGTCTGATGTTCAGCTGGTGGGACATATGCATAGAATAAACACTTGAATTAACAGCAGTACTAACCTGCTCTCTTTAAAATGCTGCTTTACTGCTTTACTGCTTGAAACCTCCCCCCAAACCCACACAACTCCTCACATTGCTCACTTTTTAATTGTAAAGGCCTTGGCTTTGATCATTTGTTCTCGAAACTTTTCCATAAGAAGCTCTTTTCTAGATTTTTGCTTGATGCTTAACACACTGCTTCCTTTCTGACTGCTGTTTCGTGTACTGGTACTTCCTGGAAAAAAATGGGTAGGAAAGAGAAGGCAATTCAGCTTTAAGTACAAAAACTAGAAGGTAATAAATCTTAAGACTTCCATTCTGTGTATGAGTTCCACATTTGAAAGAAGCTCTGAAATTAATTTTTCTGCTTTTTTTCCCCCAATATGATAAAATCTTTAAAGCATCCAGTAAAGGTCTAATCACTAGCAGATCAAACTTGATTAATAACTTTAAAAAGAGAAGACTAGTGATAGAAGCAAGTATTTGATTGATCTGACTCAGTTACTTCAATCAGTAATATATACATTTAGGCTAGAGTAACGCCCTTTTTACAAGATGGAACAGGTAATCTCTCTCAATATACCTAATAAAAACTTTTTCCCAGTTCAAGTACCATTGAATGTAGATATGAAAAATACATATGCTTTGCATTCCCTCTAGCTGGAGATAATGCTGAACCAGAATTTCTGGATCTTGGCCACAATGAGAATTCCTTTCCCAGCTTTTGGATAATGTCATTTTTAAAACATAATGAATCACAAATTATGGCTCTCCATTTGAACTTTAAGAAGGCTTGGAGTGTGTTCAAACATGAAGATACATTGGTTCATATCCTATTTCATCACTGAGAAGCAGCAGCATTCAGTAGCCTTTGGGATCTCCACAGCAAGGAGCACAAA